AGAGCTAATCTGAAGTCTGGCAAGAGTAGTTTGTGAGGCTGGAACATCTCAGCTAGCAGCTTTCAAGTTGTTCTGGATGCAGAGTTTTGAATACACACTAACAGAGGCATTCTGAGACGCTGAATCACCTGGGCTATTTGTCTTTATTGGTGACTCATCCTTTTTTATGAAAACACATAAATTTTTAAAGGTAACAAATACTTGTATTAACACAAATATGGGATGTACAGTGTGCACAAGTCAACTAAAGATGATTTGTTGTTGTTGTTCTATGTTTGAACAGGCATCTGTCAATTTTATAAGTCTGTTTGGACTATATACCCAAACCTCTATCTATGCCATATGGAAGAATGGCATGTAATAATAAGCAATGAGGAATCTGTAGCCAAGATTTATCATGTCTCATCCATTCTCAGAGCCATTCCCATGTCAAGACAACAGCACATGGTAACATACCTTGTAGTTTTTCTTTTGTTTCTTTATGTCTGTTGCCAAAATTTTCAGGAGGTCTCCCTTGATTGAATATGGTCCTTATTAATTTTGAAGAAATCCATAGCTTTTTGTTTCCTGTGGAAACTAAAGCAAAAATTCTCCCCCAATGAATATATTTTCTGACTTCCATTCTGAAATTAAGACATTCTTAAAACATAGGTTGGTTTAATTTAGCAGTTTCCATAATCCAGTGTCTCTCAGAGGCTATTGGTTTTTGTTCATTAATGTCTAAAAAATTTTAGGTCAACAAAGCACATACAAGATACAGACACTCTGTGTATTTCCCATGCTCATGTGGCATATTCCTTTTATATTACTTTCTCTTTAAAGACTTTATTATTTCTAAACTATATTTATTTTTCTATGTCTATAGCCATTTTCTTTTCTTTCTACAGCATCTAAGCACATTTTTAAGCATGCTTCATCTGTTTAGAGGTTGTTTTCAGTCTAGACCTGACTTTTGGCCCATCTGCAGCCTTCTCTGACCATGTGAGCTAAACCTTAAACTGCTAGGCAGTTTCTAGGCCCTCCAACACTAGCACAAGGCCTGGTGGCTGGCTCCATCCCCTTCAGGTGGAGAGTGGAAGTCTCATGCCTGCAGATCCTTCCTGGAGCCAGTCAATCTACCCCAGCTCTGGGAAGTTTCTGGATCCACACTGCAGTAGGCATTTCTACTTAGTGTCCTACCACCAAGTAGTGCCTCACCCTGCTACTCCGTAGCAGGACCTCTTAAAAGAGCCATGCCCCCATGTACACTGCAAAAACCAAATCTACTGAGAACTTTTTTTTTTTTTTTTTTTTCATCTTTTTCAGGCCCTATGTGGATTTATTTGCCAAGCTTTGGGAACCAAATGCAGTAGTTTCTTGTTTTGTTCTTTGTTTTGTTTTTTGTTGTTGTTGTTTTGTTTTGTTCCTTTTTTTTTTGTGACCGCCAGCCCACAAATAATGACCCTGAAATTATTGTTAATTATGAAAGTTTGACCTTAACTTAGGCTTGTCCCACTAGCCCTTATAACTTAAATTAACCCATTTTCCCCTCCTCCCTATTTCTCTCTCTGCCCAGAAGTCCTGCCTATTCTTTCCTACCTAGCAGTTGGCCATTTAGTTCTTTGTTAAAGCAACCAGAAGGTATCTCAGGCAGAGAGACACAGCTTTACGGTGTAAACAGATATTCTGCAACGATTTCTAAATATTATTGTATGTGTAGTGTGTGGTGTGAGCACCACAGTGCATGTATGGAGGTAAGAGGACACTTTGGTGGGTGGGGAGCCTGATTAAGGAGGGGGATAGAGAAGAAGCTTTCAGTTGACTGTCAGACCTCTCTCTGAGACCCTCCAGATGTGCTCACAGTAATCCCCTCCTCCCATCTCTGTGCACCCTCGGGCATGGTGCCTCCTCTTCTCAGAGGCTTCTGTAGTGTGATTGGTTTATTTAGAACTTGGCATTTGAAGGTGGGAGGAGAAAGGCAACACCACCCTCCTATTCTGTATCAGCCTCTGTATACGTTAGAAGAAAACACAGCTCAGACAAGTGAGCAGGATGTCAGTCAGCTCTTGCCTGCTCTCCAAACTGAGTACCTTTGTGTAATATACAGACTGTACAACCTGATGTGCCAGCTGGTACCACCGCTTCCCTGGTGATCTGCTTAATCCTCTTAGGGCCTATTGGGCCCTGTCTTAACATCTCACAGCAGGAAGCATCTTGAGCATTGTTTTAGCTGCTCTTTTCCTCCCCGTTTTTCCTCCAAGTTTCTGACACACAACTTAAGGTGGCACCAGGACATCTGTCCTTTATGGCAGTCTCCTTCCATGCTGCGCCTCTTGAGAGACAGATTAAGGTGGCAGCATTGTGTGAAGGGAGCTGCTCATCTCACAGCAGGCAGGAAGCAACAGGAGAAGGGACCAGATATGATTCTCACAGTCCCACCCCCACTTATCCAATTCACATGTTATATTGATTTGGGTTCTTTGAGTTCTTTAACTGAAACCAGTCCTGCTGTAGACCTTTATGCTGTAGGAGCTGCTGAGACTCTGGCAAGGAGGCACAGGAACCCTGTTCTGTGGCTTTCAGAGGGTCTAGTTCAGAGGTGGGTGGGACCAGAATTGGAAAGATGGACAGATGGACAGTGCTCCCAGAAGTCTGATCAAGGATGAAGTGTTGACATTGAAGGTGATTTTATCTGTCCTTGAATGTTTTCAACCACAGGCCATTCATCACCTGTTCTGCTCCCTCAAGCAGAGCAGGGCACCCTCCTTCCAGGCTGCCCAGCCTTACAGTAGCCAGAGATCACTACTTCACCAACAGTCAGCAGGCAGCACCAAACTTCCTGCCAGAATGCTGCACACCAACTATCACTAACCTACCTAAGCTCATGCCAGAAAGCTGTCCCTGAATCCAACATAGCTATGTAGGAAACCAGGGATTGGGGGGGGGGACCCACTAATACACACAGAGGCAACCAGAGAATCCTGGAATGTGGGACAGTTCATAAAGTAACTAGGGTCTCTTTTAAAAGATTTGTTGCAGGGAAGTGATGGCACATGCCTTTAATTCCAGCACTTAGGAGTCAGGCAGGCAGGAAGATCTCTGAGTTCCAGGTCAGCCTGGTCAACAGAATGAGTTCCAGGACAACCAGGGCTACACAGGAAAACCCTATCTTAAAAGGAAAAAAAAAAAAAAAAAAGATTTGTTTATTTAAGGAGCTGGAGAGGTGGCTCAGTGATTAAGAGCACTGGCTATGACAGACGGGGATGGCACACATCTTTAATCCCAGCACTCGGGAAATAGAGGAAGGCAGATGTCTGTTAGTTTGAGGCTAGCCTGGTCTACAGAGAGAGTCTCAGGACAGCCTCCAAAGCTACAGAGAAACCCTGTCTCAGTGGGGTGGGGGGGTGGGGGTGGCATAAAAAAAAGGAGCACTAACTGTGCTTCCAGAGGAATCCCACAATCCACATGGCAGTTTATAACTAGGTGATCCAGCACCCTCTTCTGAACTCTGCAGACACTGAGCGTGCCCTTGTTGCGGAGACATACCTGCAGACAAAACACACTTGAAGACAAAAACACTCATACACATAAAAAATAAAACAAACCTAGCCAGATGGTGGTAGCACATACCTTTGATCCCAGCACTCAGGAAGCAGAGAGAGGCAGATCTCCGTGAGTACAAGATAGCCTGGTCTACAAAGCCAGTTCTAGGACAGCCAAGGCTACACAAAAAAAACCCTGTCACAAAACAAACGAATAAATAAAATCTAAAAAATGAGGGGAGTGAGACATGATCTCAGTCCTAAACATAAAACAGCTTAAAAAATTATTAATTTCCATCTTGTGTGTATAGATATTTTGCCTTCATGTGTACCTGGGTACCAAATCCAAGTACCCTAGGAGGCCAGAAGATGGATCCATTAGAACAGACAATGTGAGTCACCATGTGAGTGCTGGGAACTGAACCTGAGTCTTCTTGAAAAGCAGCCAATACTCTTAACCACTGAGCCATCTCTTCAACCCCTAACTGATAAGAGTTTCAAAGCCATTAGTTGGCAGCACTGGAGAGGCTGAGGCAGGAGGATCCCTGAAAGTACAACACCCTTGAGGGCTGAGCTACGTTAGTGGTTTAGCCACACACTCAGTCTTAAACATCTATTTACTTACCATGTGTATGTATGGGTGTGCAAGTACCAGAGCTCCTGTGTGTGTGCATGTGTGTGTATACACATATGCAAGTACCATGTAGATTCTAGGGATCGAACTCAGGTCCTCAGGCTTACCATCTCAATGGCTATTTCAATGGCCCATAGCCAGATTTTATATTAGTGAAATCAAGTCAATACTGACTCACAGTACTTCTGTATACACTAATATTAGCCCTGCCACTAGGATTCCGAGAGCCCCTGGGAATTAAAGGGACAAAGTCAACCATAATAATACATATGATAATTTATATATGATCTGATTGGTTGGTTGGTTGGCTGGACCAGGACCTTCTGTAGCCCCAGCTAATCTTGAACTTGCTCTGTAGCCTGGTCTGGCCTTCAACCTGTGAGCTTCCTACCTCTACACAGACGTGCTGGGATAATAGAATTCCTACTCCTTCTTTGTAAGTACATTTTTGTGTAGTTTTTTTTTTTTTTTTTTTTTTTTTTTGGTTTTTGGTTTTTGTTTTGTTTTCTTCTTTTTAATGTTCATTGGTGTTTTGCCTGCATATAATGTCTGTTGTTGGATCCTCTGGACCTGGAGTTACAGACATGTATGAGTTTCCATATTGGTGCTGGGAACCGAACCCAGGTCCTCTGGAAGAGCAGATAGTGCTCTCAACCACGGAGCACTGGTTGTTTTGTTAAGGTTTTTATGTATATGATTGTTTTACCTGCAGAAATGTTTGCCATGTTTGTGCATGGTACCCCAGAGGCCCAAAGAGGGCACTGGATACCTTGCAAATGGAGTTACAGACAGTTGTAAACCACCATGTGGATGCTGAGAAATCAATCCAGTGCTGTAGATGGTGACATGATGATACCTAGGTATGCTGCACACTCCCGACTGTGTCATACAGAGGCCAGACTTGGAGAGCTGAGTGGGGGGGGGGGAGAGCAGGAGCTGGAGAGATGGCTCAGCCATTAAAGGCTAGGCTCACAACCCCCCCCAATATATATATATATATATATATATATATATATATATATATAGAGAGAGAGAGAGAGAGAGAGAGAGAGAGCAGCCAGTGCTCTTAACCATGGAGCCATCTCTCCAGCCCCTCTTTTTTCTTTTTGGAGACAACGTCTCATTATGTAGACCAAGCTGACGGTGATCTCACAGACACCTGTCTTTGACTGCTATGATGAAAAGTATGCCCCTTTCACACCTTTCACTCCCTTCTTGTTGTTTGTTTCACATGGGGGTCTTGCTATGTAGCACTGGAACCCCATCTACAGACAGGCCAGGCTGCTCTAGAATTGCAGAGGTCTTGTCTCTGCCTCCCAAGTGCCAAGCTACAGGTGTGCCCCACAGCTGGCTTACATATGCATACCATCTATGAGCCTGACCTGTATCTGTCCACTGTGCTCGAGATGGCCTGGTGTGTATAATCACACACATTTTAACTGACACTTAGTGGTGTCACCAATTTATGGGGGGAGGGATCATTTTTTAAGCAGAGCTGGAGAGCTGATAAAGATATTCTAATAGAGGCTTATACAAGAGAGTGTTATGGGAGGGATGTTGGTACATGCTTTTAATCCCAGCACTTGGGAGGCAGAGGCAAGTGTCTGAGGTTAGCCTGGTCTACAGAGTGAGTTCCAGGACAGCCAGGGCTACAGAGAGAAACTCTGTTTCAGAGAGGGAGAGAGAGAGAGAGAGAGAGAGAGAGAGAGAGAGAGAGAGAGAACGAACATGAAAAATGAGCAGTCGACAGAAACCTACTGCATTTCCAAAGCCTGGATGAATTCTCTTGGCATGCTGACTCCACACTCCCAGGAACCTATTACTATACTAATAAGAAACCTGAGAGTTCAATGAATAATTCCTGAGCCTGCCGGGCCTTCTCTGGAAAGAGGCAGCCACACAGGCAATGTCTTCCACAGAGAAGTGTGGGGTTGGAAGAATGAGGAGAAGCCAGTTCTCAGCCCGGAAAAGGGCCCTGGAGACCTCGTTGCCATCTGGTTCTGTGGGCGCTTAAGTGGGATCATCGGACTGCTCCTCTCCAGGTGGGGCTAGTCATCCCTGTCATCCTAGCTCTTGGAAGGTAGAGGCAGGAGGATCAGGAGTTCATGGTTGTTGACTACACAGTGAGTTTGAGGCCAGCCTGGGCTACATGATACCCTATCCCAAACAACAAAGATAAAGAAACGACAACAAATTCCTATGGATCTAAGGGAATAACTTCATTGGCAAATACTTCAGTAGACACCATCAAGTTGGCAGAGAAGAAAGAACTTGTTCAAAATACTGATTATGGTGGCAAGCAAGACAGCTCTGTGGTTAAGAACACTGGCTACTCTTCTATAAGACCTGAATTCAATTCCCAGCACCTACATGGCAGCTCACAATTGTCTGTAACTCCAGTCCCAGGGGATCCAACATCCTCTTCTAGCCTTTAAGGAAACCAGGTACTCAAGAAGTATACAGAACATAGACCTCTGAGTTCAATGCCAGCCTGATCTACAGAGTAAGTTCCAGGACAGCTAAGGCTACACAGAGAAACTGTGAAAAAGAAAGAAAAAAAAAAGGAGAAGAAGAAGTATACAGACATACCTGCAGGCAAAACACCCATATGAGGGGAAAAAAAATATTGATTCTGAGACCGGAAGTACAGCTCAATAGTAAAGTGTTTGCCCTGCATAATTGAGACCTAGGTCCAATTGCCAGCCTTGATAAAAATAATGCGTTTTATTTATTTACTGTATTTGTGTATGGATCTTTCTTCCTGCCTTGTAGGCCCCGGGAAGGAGCCAGGTTGCTAGTCTTAGCAGCAGGGGCTTTTACTGGATGAGCCATCCTGCTTGTTCCTAAGAAGGTCAGTGTGACTTCTCTTTTTGTTCTAAAATAGGGCTAATGTAGCCTGGGTGGCCTTGAGCTGGTGAAGGGCAGGATGAGCTGAAGCCCCAGCCTTTCTCCTGGCTCTGTAGATCTGGGAACACAGGCCTATTTGCCTCCATGCTCCCATTTTAGCAGGCTGGAGATCAAACTCAAGGTCTCTCCTATTTTAGGCTGGCCTTTACCCATGGAACTATATCCCCAGCCTGGCATTTTGTATTTTGAGACAGGGTTTCATTATGTTGCCCTGGCTAGTCTTGAACTCCCTATGTAGCCCAGGCAGAACTTAAACTTTGCCTCTGCCTCTGGAATATATAGGATTATAGATATTATCCCAACAGGCCTGGTGGAAACTGCATTTTATTTTATCTATTTTTTCAGTTAGTTTTTTCTTTATCAATTAGAAGGGTTTGTTTTGTTTGTTTGTTTGTTTTTCTTTAACATTTTATTGATTCTTTGTGGATTTCACATCATTCGCCCCAATACCACTAATCTCCAAGTCCCTTCATCCCTTCGTATCTGCCCTTACAACCTCCCCCGACAATGAGATAAAATTTTAAAATTCTCGTCGTGGAAGCTGTAGTGCGTCACAGTGAGTCACACAGTATACCCTTTAGTCCACACACCTTTACTTTCAAGTGTTCATTGCAATGGGTCATTGGTCTGGTTTGATGCCTCTAGCATCTGCTAGACTATCAATACTGGATCCTCCTCTTAGATATCCTGTTGCTGCCCTGTGTCATGGGGTCCTACAGCTTTGGATCTGCAGGGCTGACTCCTTAGTGTGTTCCAGCAGGAAACTGCATTTTAAATAAAGCTTTCGAGCCTGGAGAGATGGCTTCCTGTTCTTCCAGAAGATTTGAGTTTGGTGTCCAGCACCCACATTAGGAGGCTTACAACTTCCTATGATTCAAGCTCCAGGGTATCAAATGTCCTCTTCTGGCCTCTACAGGGACCCATACATAGACACATAAATAAATATAAAACAAAATAAGTACAATAAAGGACCTGAGCCTGGTATGATGACACATGTCTGAGATCCCAGTTCCTGGGAGATAGAAAGAATTGCCATGAGTTTGAGTCCAACCTGGGCTACAGATTTCTAGGCCAGTCTGAGTCATAGAATGAGATTATGTTTTAATTATTAAATAAATACGTAGCCAGGCAGTTGTGTCACACACCGTTAACCCCAGCACTTGGGAGGCAGAGACAGGCAGATCTCTGTGAGTTTGAGGCCAGCCTGGTCTACAGAGGGAGTTCCAGAAAAGCCAGGGCTACACAGAGAAACCTGTCTCAAAAAAAAAAAAAAAAAAAAAAAAAAAGAAAAAGAAAAAAGAAAGAAAGAAAGAAAGAAAGAAAGAAAGAAAGAAAGAAAGAGAGTGAGTGAGAGAGAGAGAAAAGAAAAAGAAAGAAAGTGTGTGTGGAGCCCTTGACACTGAGAACCACTGTAAGCACAGGGTGGATAGAAGGACTTGAAGCATGTTCACGTCCACTGGCGGAAGAAACAGAGGATGTGTGTGTGCTTTGAGATCACAGAGATGGTGTTCATTCTTGCTGGGAACGACTCAGAGTGTGCACAGCTGCTCCTAGTTTAACAGATGCATTTCCATTGGCCACTGAAACAGCTTTCAAAATATAAGAGGCACCATTTTGATACCTGTTGGTGAGGAATTCAATATGAGAGAACCCAGGAAAACTGCATCTGTGTGTTGGTGACCCCATCAGTAGCCAAGCGTACTGGAGTTGGAACAGTTTTTTTCCACTGTATGAAAAACTAAAGCATCGGGATGTTTTCGCACGTTTTCCTTAATGAAGGGTCTGCAGCCTCAAAAGACTGGCTCATTAGCATATCATTTACATTGTAGATTTCACCTCCCTTGTGGGCTTTTCTAGCTAATCCTGGGAAGAAATACTTAAAAGGGATGTCCACTCTACCATGATTTAAGAGAGAAAAAGAGCCAGCTAACAAATAGTCCACCCGCCTCATAAATATTAATAATTTAAGAAAAACACAATAGAGAACCCTCTGGACTGCACCCCATCTTGGGGCTACCCACCCCAGTCTTTCTCTGTCTCTTTTTCTCTCAAGTAAATTTGCACATGCGGTTTTTTTCAGCTGGTATGTCTGTACACCAGCTTCATGCAGCCTGAAAGAAGACCAGAAGAGGGCATCAGATACCCTGGAACTGGAGTTACAGATGGTTGTGGGTCAATGTGTGGGTGCAAGGAATTGAGTTCAGGTCGGATAGAAGAGTATTCAGTGCTCTTAACCCCTGAGCCATCTATCTAACCAGGCTGCCTCCAATCTCTATTTACAGTGCCTGCTTCGATGAGTGAACTTCTGCTTTTTGTTTGTTTGTTTTTTGAGACAGGGTTTCTCTGTGGTTTGGGAAGCTGTCATGGAACTAGCTCTTGTAGACCAGGCTGGTCTCGAACTCACAGAGATCTGCCTGCCTCTGCCTCTGCCTCCAGAATGCTGGGATTAAAGGTGGTGTGCCACCACCACTGCCCGGCCGTGAACTTCTGCTTAAGCTGTGTCCTTCAACTGAATTCTTTCCTTTAAGTAGACAAGCACCGGGAGATACCTATAATGATATGACACACAGCTTTATTTTCTCCTCCAGACTTGGGCAACCTTCATCTCATAAAACAAAGTGTCTTAGTCAGTGTTCTGTTGCTGTGAAGAGACACCATGGCCATGGCAACTCATATACAGGAAAAGCATTTAATTGGGGCTGGCTTACAGTTCAATGGCTTTGGATGTGATGATAATATGGCTTTGGTGTGTGCCACCTCATTGAGTACCGGGGTTGATTCTGCTAATCTGGTTGGCTAGTCCTGTGGTGCTCCCTCCTACATCTACAGATGAGAATGAGCATCTCCGAGCTTCCCAGATGGTCTTTGGTCAAAAGTATACATACAAGTAGCTGTGCTCCCCTCCAGAAGTTCTGGGCAAGCCCCCCAAGTAGTAGGTCCTTGTAGATCTTTTTTTAACAAAATCCAGACATTGAGGTTTTGGGTCACAGAGTGTACCCAAATTGCACTC